ATTATAATATTAATATTTACTGTGAAGGCCTGATCACTAACTGACAATAATATCAGGTTCATTCACCTCCAGAATTTCAACATTTTTATTATATAATTGAATTATCAAATATGATTTTTTCCCAAGTACTCCATTTAATGCTTCATACACTATACAAGGAGTCAGATAAAAATATAGTATTTTTTTACCCCACTACATTCATTAGACAGCTGTAATAACAACCTAAAACATCTACAGCAGTCAAATTAATACAAACACATCATATATGATATAAAACAGGGAGCATCTTACTGCACAATGAGTACTTTCACTGCCATACTACTTTTACTAAAGCGCCATTTCCAAAGCAGGACTTTACATTGCAGTATTGCCACTTATACTTGCGTAAAGAACTTCCTCCACCTCTTATTCAAGAAAGTACAACAGGCTCTGAAGGATCCCGCTTTTTCATTCTGCTGGTTCATTTAGCTGGAGTCATATACATGACATTTATGACCACCTGTTGCTCAAAACAAACCAGCTTCCGTACATTTAAGGCGTGTTAAGTGCAGAGATATTGCTTGTTGGTCTGCGTAAAACAGTAAAACATGACGCACCACGCTTCAGCACCACATGCGCAGCGGTATTCTCTCCGCATCCATTCAGCTGGTGAGTGAAATGAACTCTTACCTTGACTTTTAAACTCCAGAAGATCACCCAATGTGGAGATTAAACTGCTCCACCTGCTTTATCGTCCCGAAGAGCTTCTGTACCGAGGCAGCAGAACAACCTCAAGTCTGCACAAAACCAAAACCCAGTGGGAGGAACACTTCCTTCTTCTTCAGGTGACAGTCAGGCTGCCTCCAGCTGCAGATCACATGTGCTGCTTTTCATTAACTCTTTGCCTTTATAACTACAATGTTGCGACACTTATCCACACACAATGCACTAAACCCACATGTAGCAGGGAAAGCTGAATAAGACGTTATATTATTGAGCAGAGTTTCCTGTTCTTTGTCCTAATATGAAGACACATCCTGTAAAAAGCTTAATTAAAAAAGTACCTGCACTTCACCATGAAATATAATGATTAAAATCCTTCATAAAATAGTCTTTTAATTATTATTGTGTGTCTTTATTCCCAACTTAAACCTTAAATAATAATAAAATGTTTTTATATAAATGTATAACATGTTAGTTAAAATACACATTTTAGTCTGGTCCCCAGGTTTCCACTCAGTTCTGTTATCCTGACAAATTCCCCCAAAGTCACATGATCAAACTGAAGTAGCATCATTTGAGTCTTCTGAGGGTCATGGGAATCCCAAAAGAGACTCTTCTCATTCTATTTTCTGTATTTTTGATCATATGGTAAATATGGTGAAACCTGAAGTGTTCTCATGTTATCAGCATTGATGACATCAGACTATCATGAAGTTTGAATAGTTAAAAGTGTTTTATTAGATACCGTGTTTATAAAAGATAAAGAATGAAGTTGTGGAAATGACCCAAGAAGCATTACAGGTTAGGCCATATTGGAATCTTACTATGGCCAGATGAACCTGTTATGGAGCCACAGGAGCAAAAAAATTGCCGGGGCCCCTCTTAACCACCACTGTTCACCTTGTGACCACTGTACATTATGTACACCCTGTCACTTCCTCTTCATAGTCTATGTTTGTTTCATTCAACAACGGCCGTGACCTTGGAAGAGGTATTTGGCGCTGCCTCAGGCGGCAGCTTGTAGCCGCAGCTCCCGTCCTTACTTATTGTGTTGTCTCTGTACTGTTGTGACTGTGTGTAGTGCTGCTGCTACCAACTGCAATTTCCCAGCTTGGGATCTATCTATCTATCTTTCCCCAACCTTAAAGCAAAAGTTCCACATTTTGGTAAATCTGCTAATTAGCTAACGTAGAAATGTGAGAACACGGATACCACTCTCATATCTGTTGTTTAACAATGGGTGGCTTTTATATAAATGAGATTTAACCTGGTAATTTGTGAGTTTAAGAGGTGGTGGTAGGGGGATTTTGGTACCTTCTGACAGAGCAAGGTAATCTTAAAGATGACCATCTTTTGTACAAGAAGTATGTTCTGTGGAGGCATCAAGTGTGTGAACCCATTGTGACATTAACCCATTGGTGTAACGCAGAGGTGACGTACTTGAAACTAGAGATTGAGACTATTAACTCATTATGAAACTGCTGACGGAGCTAATAAATCAAGTGAGAAGTTGGGTAATTTCTCCATAAGACTGCATGATAACGGTTTTTATTGCAACCAATTGGCAACTCCATTATATTGCATTATACATGCTAACCCTGCTGGCCATTATACAGAATGCAGGTCTTGATATTGTGTACTAGTAAACCCAACCTCATTCTGTAAAAACTGCAGTATAATCAGTACACTCTAACCTATGTACTTCTGACAGCATGCAGTTAACCTAGTACTGAATGTACTCTATATAAAGATATATACAGTGTGTGAAGTGCAGCGACCTATATCTAAAAATGTTTCATTAACAGAGGGGTGACGAGACGAGAGATGTGCAAATAGTTTATTGGCGAATTGACAGAAGGATATTTAATGTATACACTCTGTGGCAGAAGAATAATTTGACAAGCATACGGTAGTAGATATATTCAGAATTATTCTCTAGAGCATGACAGAACATAAGAAAATATGGTTCAAAAACTCCTCAACCACACACACACGGAATAAATCAAACTAACAGAGGCGTACATTAACTTAATCTACACACTCACACCACAAATGTCAAATCACCACATGTATACTTCAGTAAACTAATGATCATCTTTCATAAAGGCAATGTAATGAAATAAAACATACTTGGTTCCACTATGAGATTAAGGAATGTGTTGTTAAGGGACATCACGCCTTTTATTAGTGCTAAATGACTGTTGCTCGGTTTGTCGTTGAATGGAGGACATGACAAAATGCAGGCAGGGGTGTTCTTAAACGATGACGTGAAGCGGACATCTTCCACTATGACTGTGCTAAGACCACAAGAACATGACTCATCTCTAAAGCCTCTACCTGTCATGCAGGTGTCTCCTAAAAAGCAGTAGAAAACATCCGAGTCTGAACAGTGATCCGTTCGGACAGTTTTGTATACATTCCACATGTCAACGTCTAAAATAACAGTACTCTGATACAGAAAAAGATTGCATTGTTTAGGCAGATTTTACTACGATAATCGAGAAAAGTCTTAAATATCTGTCGTTCTCGCTACTGAGCTGCCGACCCTTAACACCCAGAATAACCATGTAGCTTCAGTAGCATCGTCTTAAATGCGAGCTGGCTTTTTTTTTTTTTCTATCATTTTATGACATTCAACAATATTAATTTTCACTGCTCTATTTGTGAGAAGAATCTAGCCAAGCCCTGTCAAAAGACAATTATTTTTCAGCGCCGAGGAAGCAGCTACAACAGCCACACGAACACTAAGATGAAGAGCTGACGATACACACTTTTTTTTGCTCCTTCTCACCAACACAGAAGGCTCTATGGCCCGGGTAAACAAGGCAATTTAACCACTATTCATAATATTTTACAAGTGTGTATATGGGTTAATTGAATCAAAATATTGAAGCTGAATTAAAGGCAAAGGCAGGAGAAGCCATTCATTCCTTTCTCTCTAATCAACAGTGTTCATATTTATTATCATTACTCTTGGTCTAAATAAACCATCCACCCTTTGGAAAACCAATCAGTTGCATGGATCATAAATAGGTTTTCTTTGTTTTAAATAATTCAAAATAAATCTAGACACTGGAAAGGGTGAGAGACACACGGGTCGTAATCTAAATATTCTCTTTACATTAGGTTTAAAAGTCAAATAAATTCCTTCTCATTACTTTTTTTGTTGTTGTTGTTTTACAGCCTTACAGTAGCATTTCCCCACAGCTTTCCCTCCCTCAGTGCTGAGTGCTGACAGCTTTGTTCTGGCTGTCCTCGGCCATCTGCACCAACTCATTGACGGTGTGCAGCAGGCTGTAGCCGTGCTTCCTCAGCAGACGCTGGTTGAGCCGCTGGTCTCTGAAGCCCATTTCCAGCAGCATCGCCATCACTGAAGGGTCCTGTCTGGTGGCTGGGTCGATGCCTCGCTGGAAGGGGGAGGAGCGAAAACAGACTATTGATGAAGCTTGTTCGGAAAACGGGTATTGGTTTCATCAAATTCATTACCGAAACAATTAGCTGAAAGATGCTAAACAGGGGAACTGCAGTTTCCGGTGCACACATTCATTACACATAGAAATTTGATAGTTAATATAAGGATGTTTAAACATGATCAAAATGTGTCCCAAAATAACACAACATATTTAAAATATTTGGAAAAAGCTGATTTGACAAATTCAGTCAGATTGGGATACGATTATTACAAAAAAGGCTCTGTCGTCTCTCGTCATGTTCATCCCATTGTAAATACACTTACATGCGCAGGGAGAACAATACATTGGGGCATGTCTGTTATGTAAGGAAGCACTGACTCATAACCTTACCAAACTCCTTTGAGCATATCTCTGCAAAGTACTTGTTTTTAGCCCTTATGAGGACCATCAGCTGACTTGCTGGTAATGTAATATTGCCACGAGTTAAACCATGTAGAGTTGCTGTGTGATGTACCTGTATTGAACAGTTTGGTCCAGTGAAGAGAGCTTTATAAGCCGACGCTGCCACAGAAAGGGCCCCCTTGACAAGTCCCTCTGTGATGCCTCCTTGGCCCCTTGTATAAAGACAAGGATGTGGTTAAGCTGGGTTACATAACAGTACTGCAGAGAACAATGTGTTCCAGTTAAACTTGTTTTCATAAAAACATACAGATTAAAGTTAAGAGGTGCATCACATTACTTTACGTGTTGACACAGATTACACAGACTGGTCAAATGTATTAGCTCACAAAAACATGATGAAGACGGATAAACACAAAAAGAGAAACTAAAGTGCAGAATTTCCTTCACAAAATTGACTTATATCAAGTTTTACTCTGTTGTGTTGCACCTTGGCTGCAAAGCATTGCTGGGTCTGGGGTTATATGTCTCAAAGGCACTGGATGCTGAGCCGGCTGATCTTGACAGACCAGATGATACTGCATGGCGCATAAAAAAGGAAATAACACAAAGTAAACATGCATAATATTAGAGGAAGAAGCATTTTGCTGAAGCAACAAATCCTAAAAATCTGTGTGCTATCATACTTCCTGTCTTTCTACAAAGTAGCTAAATGTGTTTCCTCTCTCGCCCCAACAGTAAGACAGTCAATAACTCCCCAAAGTAGCAAACTGCTATTTTAGGCCAACAAAGTGACACAGAAGGTTGTGATGCAACACTGAAGTTTAACAATCTAAGCTGAGTCAAAGTACATACAAGACCTAAAAAACACCAGTAAAGATCTTATATTGATACTGCTGGGACACTTTAGAGCGTGAATGTGCGCTAAATGTGTTACATGCTGTGTGTGCCAGTATGTACTATGATACTGCAGTGTACTTTACGCATGTATATCCAGTGATTAAAATAGTGCAAACTCACCATTTAGGTGGACCCTTGGTTGGTGTGGCTCGTATGGTTCACAGGCTGGAGGACTGGGGTCCTCAGCCAGGTACAGTGCCTCAGACCTGAAACATACAGTAAACAAAGTAGATGGGTAGAGATCTTTACCAGGTTTTATTTACGTCCCTAAGAATTAATTCGATATTTAGAGATAAACTGTTTTTGCATTTTCTCAAAAATTGATTATGTTATGTTTTCCCAGAGCCACGGGTGACATAGAGGACTAACGAAACCATAAAAAATTCACACTGGCAATGTCTGGCAGAATTCCAGTTTAAATTGCTCTACTTTTATAACCTCACAGTATTTTTTGATGAAAAGGGCATAAAAGCTCAACCCTAAACAAACTTTTATCCAACTTTACAAAATAATATATATATATATATAAAACATCTGTAATATTGATACTACCTCTGTTTCTCATGTTGTGTTTTATGCATGCAACAGATTTTTGAACTGCACAGGGACCATTTGACCCGTCTAACCTCGGTGAGTAGAGGGTCGGCGGGGGCAGCAGGGGGTCAGGCAGCACCGGCGGTGTCACCACTTCAGGGGTGAGCGTCACAGCGTCCAGAGTTTGGGAGGCACACAGCATCTGGTTCACACTGCTGTGGATTGGAGGGACAGGCGGAGGCCAGATGTTCATTGATGAATCCTCAGCCTCGACCGCCTCCGTCCTCTCCTGCCTCTCTCTCAGGGGTGCCTCCCTGCCTGACTCGGAGCTGGAGTCCTCCTCCTCCTCCTCCTTCTCCTCATTCTCCTCCTCCTCCTCCAGCTGTATGTCCGGATCGGCTGAGGTCACAGCTGCAGCGGCAGTGTCGGGCTGCGACATGGCGGAGCTGTACATGGACTCGCCCAGAGGACGGCTGGTGTCAAAGCAGTCTGGGAGGACAATGATGTAATCGTCGCAGGAGGAGACTGAGGAGGTCTGGCTGCTGACCTGAGACAAAGGAGGAGATGATTTTGACAGTTACGGACATCTTTACATGAGAACGGCTACACTAAAACCTCATTATACAGCGTAATCATTCATGATCTGCTTTGTACTTTCAAACATAATGTTAGTATGAAAAGGTTAACCTCACCTCCTCCCAGTCCTCTCCTCTGGTTCCACCCTCTGCTTTCTCCTCCAGAGGATCCCTCATCTTCTGCAGGTCATTTAAGACCATGACCTCTTCGTCTTCGTCATCATGATGTGAACCGATACGCAGGTTTTCATTCACTGGTTCCAGCAGAAGAACTTAGAAGTGAGCAAAACAAAAACAAAATGAGCATCTAAAAATTAGAAGCAAAGCTCATTTAATCAATTACTGCATAAGTTATGATATGTAACTCTAACTACGAAATATTTTGAGACAAGTCTTAGTTTAAAAAGAAAACAAATTTGTCAATGTATTCAAGAGAGAAAGACAACAGAAAAAAAAAGAAATGTCATTCTCTAACCTGGCCTTGTCTCCTCTTCCTGGTCAATCTGGTTGAAACCTGTGATTGGAGGCAGAGCTGAACTCTCAAGTCTAATGGCACAGATGTCCTCATTTTCTTCCTGCACCGTCTCCGTCTTCTCAGCCTCTGCAGCTCTCTCAAAGCAAAAGCTGGGTCCCCGGGAAACAACTGGAAATGTTTTATGGAAGAAAAAAAAACAAGGTCTGAGTACCTAATAATACAGCAACCTTTAAACACAAAACACTGTATGAACATAGGTTTGCTAATAATACAGTGTGATTAAGGGAGGTGCAGTGGCTCCTCACCCTGCGGTTTGTGGCTGCTGTGCTGGGCTCTGCGCAGGGGTCTGTGATCGGGGGCTTCCTCCAAAGTGAGGGAGCGGATGACCGTCTCACAGAGGAACTGGGCTCCGCTGATCTCCTCCTCCCTGTCCTCGTCCTGGGTCACAGGCTCCAGCAGCTCCCTCTGCTGCCTCGGTTTCACTCCTAGGCAAAACACAAAATATAAAAGAAAATAGATGCAGCAGAACCAGAGAAATCGTCTTTTTTTATTCCACACATTCTTCTTACTTGTTCAGATCTGGAGCCTACATTACCCACAATGCAACTTTGTCTGACATTTGGGTGTATTGTGCTAGTAGTGACGAATGTAGCCTCGAGCTGCTCGCCTTAAGCAGAGATGGGAAGTAGGCTAAAGAGATTTGGTAAACTCCCTTCTTTCTAACTCCACACCCCAGATTTATTTTTATTTTCAAATGTACCACTTGCTGCACTTTTTAACTCTCCATTGTTCATTGTAATACTTAAACTCACTTTATTTACTTTTCAAGCTTGTAAGCTACAGTTGCCACTGTTTCAATAAATGAACTAATTTTCTCAAACACATCTTTGATTCATTTGGTCCAGATTTTGCAAGGCTGTAGACTCTCTTGTCCAGGTCAGAGCCATAATATTGTGTAACTGAATGCTTTCAGTTTCAGTTCAATTAATTCAACTCAAGTCAAGGAACACTCACGACAGAATGTCACCCAAAATAACACTAGTCCCTTAAAATCTTTCAGAAAATTAAATGTTAGTGATCGAATCGTATCGAATCGTATCGTTGGCTCAATATCGTGATATATAACATATTGTGAGCTGAATATCGTGTATCGCATCGTATCGCTACAGCCCTAACACACACACACACACACACACACACAAACGATGTGTAAAATGTAAAAAAGTGCTCACCAAAAAGTTTCCTGACCCCTGTGACCTCTGCGTCTTCTTTGATCTGTGAAGGGTTGGCCTTCTCCAACACTGGTGCATCATGGGGCAGAGGGGATATGCAAGGTGTCAAATCTACAAATAAGGTAGAACAAACACAACACAATTTATACACACAAATGAGCCCCGATGGAGTTAAAAGAAACTTCAGAAGAGAAGCCATCATTTTTCCAACAAAAGTAAAAGCAAGGAAGTTGGAAGGAAGTTGGATAAGAAACTGTACAATAGTCTCCTAGCTTGCATTAAATCAAATTCTCCACAGTTTAAAGCTGCTTACCCACAGGGGTGTTGTTAGGAACCTTCTCCAACTCTTGCACAATATTGATATCCAGCAACTCAAATGACAGCAGGTCCTAAAAAAAACAGAAGACATGCAGGGAGTATGAATGCTGTCCTACTGATGACTGATCAACTCACAGTATGTCCTCTTACAACTCCTGCTGTGTAACCAAAATCAAAGAGCACTTTGTCTATCTAACATATTTCACTCCGTCTCTAACAGACATTTGGCTCGGTTTGGTCATCTAGCACATGTGCAACAACGAGATGAAGCAAAACAAAAGGAGTGAATGATTTTAAAACAAAAAGGTTTTAAGGAGCTGAATGCCGGAGCTCTCTGAGTGTGTGCACCTGTGCAGTCAGCAGGTCGACTGAGGGGAAGTAGTAGTCTTCATGGTTCAGGTCTACAGACAAGCCAGGACTGCTGTCCTTGGACCTTACCTCCTTCTCCTTCTCCACTGGCATCACCTCCTCCTTCTGAAGCACACACAAGAATGGCATCATTAGTATCACCACAGTGTGCATCCAAAGGTGATCCTTTATGTTACACTCATGAGAGTTCCACATTAAATTAACACACCAGTACAGTAAGTGTCTATAGATTTAAGGTTTCCAGTATTATGCTGTATTATCACATCACAAACATCGCTGTTTATGTTACATTTTTATTCTGGAACCAGGACTCATACTTCCATATTCATGTTGAACTTTTAATCTTAAATGATTTAAAGATACTTTACTTCAATAAAAGTACAAATACAACAATGTAAAAAGACTCTATATCAAGTTAAAGCCTTGCATTTAAAATCCTACCACGCAAAAGTATCATTAGCTAAATTTTCTTAGAAAAGTAAAAGCACTAAGTGTGCAGTAAAATGTTCTCTGAGGCCAATAATTAGATTAATATGTGTAAGCATCAGTTTACTGGTGAGGTGTTTGAGGGTTTCGGAGATTTTAAGATTTTTTGTTTGCCTTTTTTGTATTGGACAGCGAAGATGGGGGGAAGAGATGACATGCAACAAAGGTTTGCCGGCTGGAATCAAACCAGCGACACTGCGGAGGCCATGTGGTCTGCGCCGTAACCATTCGGTCACCAAGGCACTCCGACGAAGAGATGGTCCGATACCATTTTTTTGCCTTCCGATTAACTTTGCATATCTGCAAATACCGAGTACCGCTCCGATACAGGTGAGTTTAAAGAAATAGATATGTATGTATACATAAAATAGATTTTTTGCCATCATTGTTGCATGGCCTGGCTCAGGTTGAACCCTTTGTCAGAGTATGATGTCATGACTTTGCTATTCTGGGTAAAGGGGGACAATGCTGGGAAGTGTCAGGGTCTTGTTTTGGGGCTAATAAATTATGTGGTATTGGATCGCCATGTCTTTCTTGTCATTATAATTTATCATTTCAGACACGGCAGGCTGAACAACTTTACTCTGAGGTGGAGATTTTAACTACTTTAGATATAGTCAGGTAGTTTTGCCCAGTGCTTTCCAAACCTAGGTGTCCAGGCCCCTTTAAAGGGTCAGCGGCTAAGTCTGAAGGAAGTCTGGGAGAGGAAGGAAAATAAAATTTCAGCTACACAAATCTGTTTTCTTTTTTTTTTTTACTTTTTCTCTAATGTTTGCTTTTTGTGAAATGGTGGATGATTCTTCCTCTTGAAACGATCTGAGAGCTTTGCAACAACTTGTGACAATGGGACCCAATCAGACACTTATTTTTGTAAGTAAAAAGACAAATAGTTTGAATTATTTAATCTCAACAATGTGTTGTATTTTATAAGCTTATTCAATGTTTTCTATTCAAAATCTGTAAAATAACTAGTAACTATATCTGTCAAATAAATGTAGTGGAGTAAAAAGTGCAATACCGGTATTTCCCATTGAAATGTAGAAGTAACATAAAATAGATATACTCAAGCAAAGTACCTTAAACTTTTACAGTACTTGAGTAAATCTACTTAGTTACTCAGGTATCACTATAATAGTAATAATGCCATAATCTAGATGTGAGCAGTTGATGTTTTCACTGCAGCTGTACAGGGTGTCATTGGATAGCAGACTTGCCGGTCGTTTGCTCTGATTCCCGAGTGCGTTGCGGCTGTCACCGGGGTCGACCACGATGCTGCACCAGACACGCGGGCCAAACTGACACCCGCAGTGCGCCAGCCGCCAGTGGGAGGTGTACGTCCCCTCCATCACAGGAGCGACAAAGGCCACACTGACCACTGACACTTGCCCGGGCTGCAGCAAGGGGACTGGCACCTCCCTCTTCTCCTCTGACGCCAGGCCGAGGTTTCCCCACATGAACACTAGCTGGGTGCACGTACACACATACACAAAACACAAAATAGGAATACACATGCGAAAAAGCACAAAGACAAGAGCATGCAACCAAAGTCACACAGCAGAAAAAGAATATTCAAGTGAGGGATAAACACACACGCACGCACGCACACACTCAAACAATGACAAAGACTTAAACTTAAACCACAACACAGATTCAACTTAATTCAAATAATAAACATCTCAAACAGAAAGGGCATTAGTTGTATTAGGCTGGGTAAGAAATTAGCTAGTGTTGGTGGATAAGAAGTAGGCAATGAGCTGAGTGGGGACTCAAAGTGGAAGTGAAGCAGGGAAGCAAAGAGAGAGTGGAGCCTGTCCTCTCGAAGGGTGGGGGGGTACCTTAGTCTCTGAGGTCCAGCTGATAGTGCCCGAGTTCCTCATCTTCCAGTATTTGATGAACTTGGTACCAGGCTTCAGACGGGTGCCATCCGGCAGATTTTCATCCAGAAACAAGGCAGCCATAGTTGGCACCAAGGACGTGTGCGAGACCCCGGGACCCCTAGTTTCAAGTGTACAGAGCATGTTGAAAATGGCCCTGGTTTCTTATAATACCCATCTCTTTTGTTCTCTACGAATCAAAAAAGCAGGACCCCAGATTTTTTTTTTTTTTGCAGCTCAAAAGCAATTTTTCTTAGAAAATCTATGAAGCAGCAGCAGCAGTTTTCACATTGAGGTAGTTCCAACATTTTCCACAACCCCAGAGCAGCCAGCGATACACTCATACAGACTAGATTACAAAGATGGCATATTTTGATTTCTTTTCTTGGAAAAAGACTTTATTGCATCCATGCTGGGTTAGAGGTACCCAGCACTGTCGGACGCCCTTCCGAAGTGGCGCTTACTCTGGACTGGAGGCCTGGGGATCAGGGACCGGGGCAGAGATGGGACCTTGGGCTGGGGCTGGACCTGAGGCTGTTTCTGAGGCAGCAGGGGGGGGCAGGGCTGGGACCTGCGTGGACGCGGAGGTCATGTTTGTCAGGTTGGCTCTGCCTGAGGTAGAGGGCCCACTCCACTGCAGCCCCCTCTTCTCCAGTCTCAGTTTCTTCTTGATTTCCTTCACTTCAGCTCTTAGCTGCCTCCTTTCAGCTTTGAGGCGCTGTCGCTCGGCCTTGCGCACTGTCCTGTCTCCTCGCCTTGGGAACCTGGTTTGAAATGTCATCAGGAACACCTATTTGTTGACTATCAAAAGTTTATTTTCCAAGAACAAAACACATACACACACAATTCAATGTTTACATCAATTCTAGCTGCTAAAACATTTTTGCATTTGCTGCTTTGCGTCTATTCATATTCATGTTTTCCTCCATTAATGTACTGCAGAAGAAGTGATAGCAAATCAGGGATAGCACTGTTGTAAGTTAAAATGTCCTAGTGTTTCCAGACGTGGGAAGATTTATCCTCAGTCTTGGGGTTTACCTCAACTCTCCCGACATTCCATGCTCAGGGATGGAGAGAGGTGTCTTGGTTCTCACAAGGTTGTGGCTGGGGTCATGGCTATGTCTGCACATCTCACACAGGATGCAGGACGGGCACACACTAACAGGGGAAAAGCCAACATCAGTATGGATTCTCATAAAGACGCTTAGAGAACAGAACATGAAGGAAAAAGACAGTCATAGACAAAGAAAAAACCCATAAAAGCACAAAGGACTTAAGGAGCTAAAAGAAATACTCAAATTATGTATTTTATAAATGTAATGTCCCTCTTACATAACTTAGAACTACTTAGGTACCATTTTTTGTCTTAATCTACTTCTTTTGAAGAATAATCTTTGGTCCTGATCAGCTAGCAAGCAAACTACAACTGTTTATTGGTCGACTGGCAACCAATGTAAAATCTTCAGCCAGAAATCTAGGCATCACTTTTGACTTTCAACTGAATTTTGAACCACATGTCAACAACCTCATTTAATCCTGCTACTTCCACTAACAAACATTCCCAAAATTACAGACTTTTTGTGTTTTCCTGACTTAGAAAGGCTTATTCATGCCTTTGTCTTCTCATGCCTGGACTATTGGAATTGCACTGTTTACATGCCTTAGTAAATCCTCAGTGGCTTGGTATCAGCCAGTGCAGAATGCTGCTGCTCGAATTTTAACAAACAACAATCATAGTTAGTTAGTCACATGTCGCTCCAATTCTCCCCTCCATTCATTGATTGCTAGTTCAGTTAAGGATTGATCATACGAATCATTTATTAACTTTTAAGGCCCAACATCTAGCCCCTAGCTATATTATAGAGCTCTCCACTCCCTAGGCTCCAAGTCATAACCTTAGATCCTCTAGGCTACCCTTGCTGGTTGTCCCTAGGTCAAGGCTGGTGACTAAGGGTGAATGGGCTTTTGCCATTAGGGCCTCTAGGCTCTGGAACTCGCTGCCTAAGGAGATGAGGCTTGTCAGTACATTACCTGCTAATAAATCTTTGCTTAAAACATACATTTACAGGAAAGCCTTTGTGATGCCTGCCCTGAAAATGTTTGTGTTGTTGTGGGAGATAAACAGTATTAGGAGGGGTAGTAAAAATGTATATGGTCCTGGTCAGGGGGTTGTGTTTTATGGTAGGAAGCAGTTGGTCAGCAGTGGTC